AATTGTGAATTTTATGCAATTGTAATTTTATGAATATGTATGGAAACATATTACAGGAGACTGGTGTCCATTTATTGATATTTGCATGATTTAAGATGGGGCTGTTTTGAGGATTGAATCATCTCTTTTCTTTTGAGAAATGTTTAGGCTCGTTGCATTCAATCTTCCATTGTTTTCTTATTTCCCAACTCACTAGACCACGAGTACCTCAGTCTGCTACATATCCTCAGGAAGTCATGTTGGGGTAAGCCTTCTTCTGTTCCTTATCCGTTCACTTCTATCTGTCATCCCATTGTCCCGCAGGGCAGGCCATTGCAGCTGTCAACAGTGATTAATCTTTGGAGATAAATCTGGGCTTTGATCCCATTAGTGCCAACTCTTCTTACTTTGCCCACATGTGGTCTCCATTCAGCAGTGACCCATAACTTGTGCAAGCACTTTGTCATGGTTTGTCCCAACACTTTGATAATTCACTTCTTCTTTCCTCTCATCCACTTTCCAACCCTGTGTATCTTCAAGATGCTGTTACTTCTATGTTGGCTGTTGAAGCTATAGAATCTAACTCCAGCTCCACTCAGAGCTTTTTTCCTGACTGTCTTTCGTCCCCAAAGAGATGGGAAATTGGCACCCTATCATTGATCTGTTACTTCTCAATCTTTCTCGTTCTTCGCTTCCAAATGTTAGGCTTTCTCAGTCTGCTTTGAGCCTCTCTCCTGGGCTGTGAATTATCAAGGTCAATATTTCAGAGGCCTTCCTTCACATTCCTATTTGTAACATATCCAGTGATTTCCTCTGGTTTTCCACAGTGTATGAGCTTTCAGTTTTCTGCCCCTATCTTTGGCCTAGCCATGTCCCCTTATGTTTTCAACCAGATCATGTGGTTCTTCACTCGGGTCATGCATCTTCTGGGCCTTTAATTCCATTATTATATAGATAACTAACTTCTCCTGGCCTCATATCAACAGTATTCAGTGATTGCTACTACCATTCTTCTTCAGGAGGTGTCTCACCTGGGCCAGTTGGTCAAAAGTTCCAAGTCCATCTTGACTTCTACTCAGTATCTTGCCCACCTGGGAGTTTTTCTTAATTCCTGTGTAGAATGGACTCAACCCTCTTCCTTGTGTTTTTTTTTTTTGCCTATGGAGATCTTGCCATTGAATGCTTTTCACTCTCCTTTTCTATTTGTGCAGAGGTTCTCTTACTTTTGTGAACTTTTGCTGCTTTTAAAACCCTGTTTCCACTTGGTTGTGATCTTATCTGCCCTTTCTCTCTGCATTTCTTTCTGTCACTTGCTCCAACAAAACCAGAGGTATTCCACTTTCTCCCTCAACCTGACTCTCATATAAGCAGACTCTCTTAGTCTGATTGGAGAGGAGGGGAGTCTCAACACTACCAATCTTTCTGAGGT